CACTGGAAAAATGAGCAAACAACACAACAACAATAAGAGTACTTGACCATAGAAAGCTACTGTGGTGGCAGGGAAGACCAAGACATAAATTTAGAAGAAGACAAAAATGTGAAAACAGCTACAAACAAAACATCAAAGAAAAATGCTAATTGGACCCAAGCTGAACAAGAATTCCTGGAATGTTAAAGCTGTGTATAAGAGTGGTAGAGGAAAAATTGGGGGAAAATGAGAGTGATGCCCTACAATTATGAAAAGAAAATTAACAGCTTGGTAAAAAGCACAAAAAATAGTGAAGAAAATAACATCTTAAAAATAGAATTGGCCTAACTGAGTGAGGAAAACAATTTCTTAAAAATTAGAAATGGTCAAGTAGAAGCTAATGGCTTTGTGAGAAATCAGGAAACAACAAAACAAAGTCAAAAGAATGAAAAAAAAATCAGAAGGAAATGTGAAATACCTCATCAGAAAAACAACTGACCTGGAAAATCGATCTGGGAGACATAATTCAACAATTACCAGACTATCTGCAAGCTATGATCAAAAAGAAAGAGCCTAAACATTGTATTTCAAGAAATTGTCAAGGAAAACTGTCCCAATATCTTAGATCCAGAGGGTAAAATAGAAATTGAAAGAATCTAATGATTTCCTTCTGAAAGAGATCCCAAAATGAAAACTCCCAGGAATATTATAGCCAAAGTGCTGAGTTCCCAGGTAAAAGAGGAAATGCTTCAAGCAACCAGAGAGAAACCATTCAAATATCATGGAGCCACAGTTAAGATCATGTTAGATTTAATGGCTTCCTTCTTAAAGGAGTGGAGGGCTTGGAACATGATATTCTAGAAAGCAAAGGAGTGAAAATTACAACCAATAATAACCTTCCCAGAAAAATTGAGTATACTCTTTTTTTTTTCGGGGAGGGGGGATGGATATACAATGGTGTAGAGAGTTTTCAAGCATTTCTGATGAAAAGACCAAAGCTGAATTGAAAATTTGACATTCAAACACAAGACACAAGAAAAGCATATAAGGAACTCAGAAAAGTTAAACTCTTTACATTATATATGGGAAGATGATACTTGTAACTCCTAAGAACTTTATAATTATTAAAGCAGTTAAAAGGAGTTTACATAAACAGAGGGCATAGATGTGAGTCAATTACATTGGCATGGACTCCAAAAAAGTGAAGGGTTAAGAAAAAGGGATGCACTGGGAGAAAGGGGAAGGGGACGTAGTGTGGGGAAAATTTTCTCACTAAAAGTGGCATCCAAGGAAGAACTTTTACAGTAGAGGGGAATATGAGAGGAGGTGGGAGACAATGCTTGTACCTCATTCTCATTGAAATTGTTTTAAAGAGGGAAGGAGATGTATATATATATATATATACACACTGTGGTTTGTGTAGAAATCTAACTTACCCAATAGGGAAATAGGAGGGGAGGGGGATAAGAGAAAGAGGATAAGGGATGATAAAAGGAGGGGGGAGAAGATTAGGGGAGGCAATTGTTAGAAGCAAAATATACTTTTAAGGAGGGGTAGTATAAGAAGAGAGAGAAAGAGAAGCAGAAGAAAATGGGATGGAGGAAAATAAATATTCACTAATCATAACTGTAAATGGTAATGGGATAGGTTTATCCACAAAATGGAAGTGGATAGAAGAATGAATTAGAAACCAGAATCCAGAAATACGTTGTTTGCAAGAGACACACGTGGAACAGAAAGACACACAGAGTTAAAATAAAGGGTTACCGTTTCCTGAAGTTGATGTCCAAATGTTACGATGTTCTTTCTCATCTCTCATTTATGATCTTGTCACAGTCCACATAGTGAAGTTGTTGGATTTCAGTGAGAAGTATCTTCCAGAGTATATCTAAGGGTATTTTTTGGTAACTTTACTATGATTAGTATGTATGGTGCAGAATTTCATTTGGATGAGATGTGTCATCAGTGCGTGGTAATTTAAATGTGCTTTAAAAAAATAAGGATGACACACAAACTTGCTGCTTAGGACACTGCAGCTTCTAGACCCCAGGTTCTTTTACTGATTTAAAAACAAAAACAAAAACAAAAGTCGTACCTAAAAAAATAAAGCTAGAACATAATCTAATATGTTTCAGTTGAAGTAAAAAAGGCAAGGGTAGCACTCATGATCTCCTACAAAGCAAAAGCAAAAATAGACCTAATTAAAAGAGATAATCAGGGAAACTACATTATGCTAAAAGACACCATAGACCATGAAGTAGTATAAAAAAAATTTACAACAAGTTTCTTTGGTAGAGGCCTTATTTCTCAAGTATATACTGAGTATAGAACTGAGTCAAATTTATAAAAAAAAAGCCATTTCCCAATTGATAAATGATCAAAGGATATGAAAGGGCAGTTTTCAGAAGAAATTAAAGCTATCTATAGTCATACAAAGAATGCTCTAAATTACTATTGATTAGAGAAATGCAAATTAAATCAACTCTTAGGTACCACCTCACACCTATCAGAAATGACAAATGCTGGAGGGGATGAAGGAAAAAAATAGGTCCATAAATGAACTGTTGGTAGAGTAGGGAACTGGTCCAGCCATTCTGGAGAACTATTGGAGCAAGCCCACAGGGTTATAAAACTGTGCATACCCTTTGACCCTACACCACCACTACTAGTCTGTATCCCAGAGAAATCAAAGAAAAAGGAAAAGGACCCATATGTAGAAAAATATTTTTAACAGCTCTTCCTGTGGTAGCAAAGAATTGGAAATTAAGGGGATGCTCATCAACGGGAGAATAGCAGAACAAGTTGTGGCGTATAGTTGTCATAGAGTTCTGTTGTGCTCTAAGAAATGATGAGGGGGGTGGTTACAGAAAAACACGGCAGGCTCTACAGGAAATGAAGCAAACTGAAGTAAGAAGAACCAGGAGATCCCTGTGCACAGTAACAACGATGCTGTGATGGCGATCAACTGTTGAAAGTTGGCTGCTCTGCTCAGTAAGATGGTCTGCAACAATGCCGAAGGATTCAAGCTGAAAACATGCTATCCACCTCCAGAGAGCAGACTATTCAATTCTGAGTACAAATCGAAGCATGATTTTCTCCCCCTTTTTTTTTGCTTTTTTCTGAAATATGACTAATATGGAAATGTTTTCTATGATTTTAACATGATTTAAATGATTTTATACGATTTTATATAATTTAACATGTATAATTGACATCATAGTGCTTGCCTTCTCAGTGGGTGAGGGAGGCGTAATAGGGAGGGAGAAAATTAAGAACTCAAAATTTAAAAAGAAAAGAATGTTTAAAATAAATAAATGATTTTTTTTTTTTAAAGAGAGAGGCTGATGAGACAGTTGGTAACACCACTGTATACTGCTCTGGTCAAATCACAATGAGTATTGTGTGCATATATGGATATTATATTCAAAATAGGTACAATAATCCGAATCATATCAAAAGGATGTTATTAAGGACAAAGTAGGACTGCCTATCATGCCATATACTAATTAATAGAAGGAATAAGGCATGTATGTGAAAAGAGGCGTGCCTGAGCATGCTGAGATTTGCCAGGAATCCTGTTTCCCTGAGTTCCTCTACCACATAAGGGCTAGCCTCCTTGGATTGGCAATCATGATCCCCATCTGATCTGGGAGTTTAAGCCATAGTAACCTTGGAGGCTAGTTTCCAGGTGGGATAGCATAGCCAGCTATCCCAGTAGGGAAGCCTAGAGAAACCAGGGTGCCTGGGACAGGAGCCAAGGTAGGGTTTTAGATTTGGAACTTGGGACTCTGCAGTATAGGAAATAAGCTAAGCTGTGAGCCTAATACCCTTTCACCCCCAGAGTATGAGTTGGTGATAGTGATGGGAATTATGCTTCTCATGTTTTAGAGAAGTAATTTTTGTTTGTAAGTACACAATTTGAAGCAAATATTCTTTTGTAAAAGCTAATATGTTAGTGGCTAAATTGAACTAGATTGTAGGGGAACCTCCTCCCACGCCCTAGAGGGAAGACCATCAGTGAGCGATATGCCCATTTGCAGAGAGCCTAGACACCCTTAAACCCCTTTAATTGTACTGGAGAACACTGGGGAAAGGCTGGAATGTGATATGCCTGGCCTTCTAGGCAATGAGGGCCCTGATAGCAAGTATTAACATATAGCCTGGAGAAAACTCAGCGAGACAATAACAACTGTTATCCGGTATTTAAAAGTCTGTCACATAAAAGAGTGATTGGACTGGTTCAGTTGAGTTCCGGAATGCAAAACTGAATAGTAATGAACAGATATTCCAGAGAAGGAGATTTAAGCTGAATGTGAAGAATACTTTCCTAACAATTAGGGCTGGCTCAAAGTGGAATGGACTCCTTGTGGAGGTAATGGGTTCCACCCATAACTGAAGGCCTTAATAAAAAGAATGGATGATCACATCAGTCAACAACCATTTAATCAATCAATCAGCAAGTCATTAAATCCCTTCTATGTACCAGGTGCTATGCTAGACATAGGCTAGGGGTTACAAACATTAAAAAAATAAAAATTCTTCCCTTCATGGAGTTTACATTCTATTGAGGGAAACAATATGTACACATATAATTAGATACTAAATGTACATAAAGAAAATGTAAAATGGTTTTAGTAGGAGGAGGCCTTAGCATGTGGGTGAATCAGAAAAGGCTTCCCTTTGTGGGAAGTGATGTTTCATCTACGGTTAGAGATTCTAAGAGGCAGATATTGAGAGAGTATATTCAGGCATAGGTCCAGCCTGTTCGGAGATGGAGGAGGATCTGAGGAGATGGAAGGTTGTGTGAAATAGACCAGTTTCCTGGACCATAAAGAGAAGTAAGAAGAGTTATAATGTAAAATCAATTCTCAGACCTAACCTGGAGCCTGAAGACCTTTAAATGGCAGGCCACACAATTGAGTTTCTATCTGATTCTAAAAAGGCAAAAGGAAACCACTGGAGTTGAGGACAAAGCATTAAGACAGAAGATTCAGATAATTTTCCCCTGGCTAAAAATAAGCCTATGAAAGTCTTTGTTCCCAGGTAGCTTTCTTGAAAGCACTCTTGACTTCTTTGTTCCTCAAGCTATAGATCAGAGGATTCAGCATGGGAATGACCATGGTGTAGAACACTGATGCCATTTTGTCTGTATCCATGGAATGATTAGAGCTGGGTTGTAAGTACATGAAGATTGTTGACCCATAGAATATGGACACAGCTGTGAGGTGGGAAGCACAGGTAGAGAAAGCTTTCTGCCGGCCCTCCAAAGAGCGAATCCTCAGGATAGTGATGAAAATCTGCGAGTAGGAGGTCAAGATAACCAGGATAGCGAAAAAGGCATTGAATCCCCCTACAACAAAGAGCACCCGTTCTATGGTGTGGCTATCAGAGCAAGAAAGATCCAAGAGTGGGGCAATGTCACAGAAGAAATGATGGATCACATTGGAATTACAAAAGGACAGGCTAAAGGTGTCTCCTGTGTGAATGGCAGAATGCAGAAAACCCCAGCTATAGGAAGCTATGATCAGACCAGCACACACACTTGTTGTCATGGTTGTGGTATAATGAAGAGGCCTACACACAGCTGCATGGCGATCATAGGCCATGGTTGCTAGGAGACAATTTTCGGTGGAGGCAAAGGCCAAGAAGAAGAACATCTGTGCAACGCATCCATTGTAAGAGATGACCTTATTCACTGCGAGACAGCCAGCTATCACCTTAGGTGTAATGGCTGAGGAGTAACCAAAATCCACCAGGTAGAGGTTACTGAGGAAAAAATACATAGGAGTGTGGAGGTGGGAATCCCAGGAGATCAGGGCCACCATGCCCAGGTTCTCCACCACGGTGATGAGGTAGATAAGGGTGAACAGGATAAAGAGGGGGACCTGAAACTCTGTGGCATCTGTTAATCCCAAAAGGATGAATTCATTCACCTGTGTCCTGTTCTCCATAGATGCCATTTGGGAGTGGTGGCATTGACCTACAACAGTAAAAACCATTGGAAAAATTAACTCCCTGGTATGAATTATGGCAAAACATATCCCTAATATGACTATTGAGGATAGGGCACTGAGGGTCTAGGAGAAGCTCTGGGAGGCCTATCATTGAATCACCAGTCAGTGATTCCAGATTCCTCTTGAGAGAGAGTCCTTTTCTTTCTATTTCCTGTCATCTTCAATCTTTGATTAAACAATTCAAAGCTTAATGAGATTTAACAAGTTCAAAAGACCTTCTTGAAGGTCATCATATGCTGATGTCTATGGGGAAGGGGCTGGGCTCTTTCTCAGAAATATATTTCAGTCTGATAAGCAGTTTTTGAATTGAAGAGAGAGAAGAGACATAAGGAGAGGAGAGGAGAGAGAGAAAGAAGACAGAGCTCAAGAGGAGAACTACAGGAGTGGAATTAAAAAAAATTAAGACTACAGCCCTGGAGTCTGGAGATCTGAGTTAAAATCTGGCCTTAGACATTTACTGGCTGTGTGACCTTGGGCAAGTCACTTAACCATGACGGCTTGCTCCCACTCCCAACCCCCTAAAAATAGGAAAAAGAAAAAGTTCATCATGAGTATTACTCCACAACTCTTTAGTGATAGTAGTAATAGTAGTAGTATAGTAGTAGTAGTAGTAGTATTAGTAGTAGTGGTAGTAATAGCTAACATCCCTGTCTTTATTCTCTCTCTCTCTCTCTCTCTCTCTCTCTTTCTCTCTCTCTCTCTCTCTCTCTCTCTCTCTCACCTACCTTCAAAACTTGCAACATCATGATACAAATTATCTCATTTGAACCTCACAATAACCATGGAAGGGAGGTGCTAATATTATTCCTATTTAACATAAGTAGAAATTGATGCTGAGAGAAAATGTCACTTGCCCCTAACCCCATAACTAACAGACATTTGAAGAAGGATTCACACGCAGGCTTTCCTGACTCCAGGTCCCAGACTCTGTCTTCTGTATGATAGAGCCTCTGTGCTCTCTAGCTGTAAAACAACTAAAAGACTTCAGCCTAGAGCAATCTTTTATTCGGCCTGGGGCTGAAAAGAGAAAGGGTGCTAGGCAACATGGTCTCAAGTCCTCACAGCCCTGATGAAAAAGAGAACTTTCCTTCTCTTCAGAAATGACTAGGTGTTGCATACAACTATATTGTGAAGAAACCCGACCAGCACTGAGGAAAGACCAGGTTCTGATACTGTCTTTGGAACTTACTGAATTTGTTTTGAAAAACAACAACAACAAAACAATAAGGGCAAGAATGAGTCACTTCATGGTGTTTTCTGGATTGCAAATAGTTTACCAGTGTTATTTCATTTGCTCCCCACAGCAACTCTATGAAGTATGTGCTAGTATTCTTCCCATTTTGGATGAGCAAACTGAAGCGGAGAGGTTACTTAACTTTCTCAGGGTAACCCAACTAGTAAGCGTCTAATGAAAGATTTCAGTCCTGCATTTTCTCCCTCTTAGATTGTGAGTGTCTATAGTGTCCCAACTGTTTTGTGTCTCCAGAACATAGCATAGTATTTGATATATAGTAGGTTAATAACATAAATACATGTTAATTGATTGACAAAATTGAATTTTCTTGGTCTCTATCTCATCTATGAGATGGAAATATTAATATTTATATGCCCTAGGTCACCGATTTGTGTGTATGTGTGTGTGTGTGTGTGTGTGTAGAATACCTTTGCAATCCCCGAAGTGCTTAGAAATGGGAGCTATAATTAGCTACACAGGCTGTATATGTGATAATGGATAAGAAAATGTTCTGAAGAGCATATGATCACAGGGGAAAGAGGACAGAACAATTATCAGATTGCAAAGTCCTTGGGAGAACAGGGAGTGGTGGATAAATGGCTAGGCTGGGAGTCAGGCAAACTTGATTCAGATACTCATTAGCTGTATGGCCCTGGATAAGGCATTTAAACTCCTGCAGACTCAGTCTGGTCATTTATAAAATGAACATAATAATCATTATGGCATTCACTTCAATGGTTTGTTATGATACTAAACAGAGAAAATGTATGAAAAACCCCCTGGAAATATGACTTATTCCTGTAGATAGGAACTATGCCTTATTTAAATTTTGTATTTCTCCTCTCAATCCCCAACCTCACCTCCAAGTTTAAAATGAGACTCTGCACAGTCTTTCATCAAGGTTTTTAAAAAATTACTTATTATTAGGTTCTATCTGAATCAGAGGCACTGTTCTTACTGATTCCCTTATCCTTTAAAATATTCCTTTAGTTAATTGCAGGAAAATCACCTTAAAACCACAGCACAGTAGATAATAATTAGCATTGTATTTTTTAACATTTTATAAAGCATTTATATAGCCATTATTAGTCTCATTTATTGATGTGGAAATGGAGACTCAGATAATATTATGAACGTGCCCATGGCAACACAGCTAATAAATGTCAGAGACAGAATTTGATCCCAGGTCTCCCTGTATGAATCCATCACTCAGTTCACTAGAGATGACAATAACAATGATAAACAAATAGAGATGACCTTCTCTTCCACTCATGGATAAGTCATAGAAACCAGATGAATGAGTAAGTAGGGATGGGACAGTTCTTTCCTTCAGATGCAACTCACCTCCAGATGTGTCTCAATCAAAAAAGTGTTTTTTAACTTATAACAAGCCAGCAATATGTGAGTTATTATGCTTCGAACAATTACTACCTTTATTATGCTTTGAGTCTACTCTGAAGTTGTCCAATAAGACTGTGTCTCATTCATCCATGTTACCTTGGTCTCATCAGCTGAGTGGATCTTGTCTTGAAGGACATATACACAAAAATATCTGCTCAACTGGTCAATCTAGGCAACGCTATAGATTTCATTTATTTATATTTTTAATAAAGCATTTCAAAGCCTAAACATGAAAAATGAGACCGTAGTTAGGTGAGTTCAGGCCTGGTGGAATTGACAAATTCAAGGATAAGTTAGGGATGGGTAGATGGCATATAGAAGATTGAATCTAGGGCAGTGACCCTGGGAGCTATTCTCAGAGCTATGGCTTTAACATAGTAGATACTTAGCATTTATGAACCCTTTAAAGTTTACAAAATACTTTGCATGTTTTACCTCATTTCAACTTCATAGGATCCCATGGGGAAGGTACTATATTATTAGCCTCCATTTTACTATTGTGAAAGCTGAATCTCTGAGAATATAAGGGATTTGCCCATGTTCACACAGCTAGTGTTACACAGTCATTTGAACTCATATCTTCCTGTCTCTTGGGCAGCTAGGTGACCCAGTGGATAGAGTTCCAGGTCTGGAGTCAGTAAAAGTTCAAATCTGGCCTTAGACAATAGCTATGTGACCCTGGGCAAGACACTTAACACTGTTTGCCTCATTCTCATCTGTAAAATGATCTGGTGGAGGAAATGGCAAATCACTCTGTGATCTTTGCCAAGATAACCCCAATTGTAGTCACAGAGAGTCAGACAGGACTGAAATGATTGCACAACAATAACAAATTCCTGTCCCTAAGTCTTTTACTCTATTCATTAGATCAAACTGTCCCTTCCACCATCACTCTTATAAGTACTGGATCCTAGGATTTGATTTCTCAGAACCTACCTGATGTCAAGAAAAAGACTGATGAGGTTCCAAAAGAAAAAGTTGTTCAAGTACCTTGACAGGCAGGTGTTGAGACTGAAATCTTAATGCCAGGAAGAAAATATTCTCATTGGAGAAACTGTTTTCTAATCTCTGGGACTAAATGATCAAAGGTCCCTATATCCTGACAGATCACCCCTAGCTCCTGCTTTAGTAGGGTTGGCAATAGAGTTGACCTTCTCTCCAACTCAATTTTAGGATGAAAAATAGATAGGTGAATGAGTGAGTGACTTGGGGGAGTCCTTCCTGCAGATAGGGCCTAATGAGTCCTAAGAACAACACGTATGGATGCTTGTGACTGAAGATTAGGTATGAGTTTATACTGATCTTGAAGTATAGTCCCTTGGAAATATTGGGCAGTGCCAAATATGACAAAGTCATTAAGCTCACAAACATATCAACTCACAAACATAACAAGTCATTAAACTTTACTTTGACCATAGGGACCAAATCTGATTGCCTGGGGAGAGCATTTTCTCATTTTCCATTTTCACCTTTGTAAATCTTAGCTCACTATTAGGGAAATGGAGTGGATAATGTATTGGTCTTAGGAATCAGAATACTGGTGTTCTAGTTCAGATTCAACCACTTACTAACTGTTCAACTTTGGCAAACCAGTCAGCTTCTCCAAACCTTGTTTTACTCATCTGTAAAACAGAGATAATAATCACTTCTTCATATACTTTAAGGGTTGTTGTATAAACCCAACATAATACTAGATAAAGAAAATATTATTTTTTGTTTTGTTGTGTCCTTTCAGTTGTGTCTAAGTCTCTGTGACCCCATTTGGTGTTTTCTTGGAAAAGAGACTGGAGTGATTTACCATTTCCTTCTCCAGTTCATTTTACAGATGAGGAAACTGAGTCAAACAAAGTTAAATGACTTACCCAGGTCATACAGCTATTAAGTGTCTGAAGCCAGATTTGAACTAATAAGGATGAGTTTTTCTGATGCAAGACCCAGTACTACTGCACCACTTAGCTGCTTGTCTTATAGGAAATACAGATCTTCAGAGTACACTAATTAAGCCAGACACTCAGTCTAGCAAGAAAGGAACTGACAATTGTCTTTGGAGTGTAGTATTCATTTCAAGTATTTGTTCCATTGCTCTACAATCTTTACTGCTTGGGAATGGCAAGAAGGTGAGGAAAATCAATCTTACATCTGGATTTGGGGTACATTGTTGAATCAAGACTGAGGTGAATAGAATTCCATCGTCATTAGAAATGTAGTCAGGATAGCCAACAGGAAGGAAGGTTTTTTTTTTTATTTTTCCCCTCCCAAGGGCTGATGTGGTAGCCTTTGTATCAGGATGGGCAAGCAATTTGTCCACTTT